GCCCAGACAGATTGAATAGTACCTACTGGAGATTCTGCCTTCTGCCATGCTCCCTAGCTCCCTCTTGAAAGCTTGTAAGCCAGTCACTTCTTGCCTTTGTAGTCCCCACCTCCCAAATTGAGTATCCAATGTCCAAGCTGCCCTTCTCTGTCCACTCTGTGTGTGGGTGTGTGTGAATGTTAGCATGTTATTTTTATTGGGACTGAACTAAATTTATAAATTAGCTTAGGGAGCACGGCTGTCTTTATAATACTGAGTCATCCTATCCAAGAATAAGATGACCCGTTATGGTACTGGGGGATAATGCAATGGACTGCAAGGTCAGTTTAAAACTGCAGGTCGGTTGTTCAAGCTCACCAGCTACTCCTCGGAAATCCTATACAGGGTCGCTATGAGTTGGAACCAACTCTATGGCACTTAACAACATCCAAGAATAAAGATGGTTTTCTACCGGTGTCTTTCAGGAGGATTTTAGAAATTTCCTTATATATGTTTTTATGTACATTCATATACAAATTGATAGATATTTGTGTTGTTTCCAGTTTGGGGCTATTAGGAATAATGTTGCTATAAATATTTAATATCGGATCCTTTAAAGTTTACTGTCTCCTGCTCTACTAGAATACTCAGGAAGCGCTCACAGGTGAAAAACTCCCTTAGTTTTTATATGTTGAAAACTATTTTTCTCTAGTTTGATATATGAAGGACAGCGTAGCAAAATATAAAAATTCTTGGTTTACTCTTGTCTCTGTTGAATAAAAAAAACCTCACAAAAAACTGTTTCACTATTACCTTGCTAGGAGCCCTGGTGGCACAGTGGTTAAAGTGCTCAACTGCTAACTCACAAGTCAGCAGTTTGAATTCACCAATTGCAGTCTGCTTCCATAAAGATTACAGTTTCTGAAACCTGATAGGGCAGTTTTGTTCTACCCTACAGGGTTGTCCTGGAATCCTGGTGTGGTGCTGTAGGATAAGCACTGAACTGCTAACTGCAGGGCTGGCAGTTCAAACCCACCAGCCACTTCTCAGAAACACTATACAGGGTTTCTATGAGTCGGAATCAACTCAATGGCACTTCACAACAACATACGTCATCTTGGTGGTATTGTGGGTTAGGCATTGGGATGCTAACTGCAAAGCTGGCAATTCAAATCCACCAACTGCTCTGTGAAAGATGTGGCTGTCTGCTCCTATAAAAATTTAGTCTCAGAAACCTTAAGCAGTATGTCACTATGAGTCAGAATCGACTTGAGAACAGTGGGTTTGGCTTGGTTTTGGTACAGGGTCTCTATGAGAGTGAGTAACTGGATAGTTATTCTTGTCTTTGTTTTGTTTTTTAAAGTGAAGAACAAGAAGGAAAAGAAGTTCTCAATCCATCATTTAGCCCCATTCTTATCATTTCTAGGTCTAATTTATTTATTCCTGAAATGAGCAACCACAGTTACAGGTACTCAGTGTGTCCAATTAGAATACCAGTCAGTGACAAGACAGGGTTTTGGTCACTGTGTGTTATTTTGGGACCCACAAAGAAAGAGGTGTAGGCACACAGGACCCAGAACCACTGTGACCAGATCATGGGGACAGTGCCTCTGCCATCCTGCCCGTGTTTTGTTGTAGTCAAGTGCTTTGAATTTTGTACTGGTACTGAGTATGGTATTTTGAAGAGATGGTGAAACTGATTTTTGAATCATTTTCTTCTATGTAAATATGGGCTTTGGAATCACACAGACCTGGTTCCATCAATCACATAATAACACTGTGATGCTGGACACAGATCTTAATTTCTCCAAGTCTCAAATTCCTCATCTATATATAAGTGAATCCTATCTGTTTGCCTGGATTATTGTCTGAACTAATGCCAAAATAGCCCCACAGGGACCAAGCACTATGCTCAAGAAAGGCTGCTTCCTTCCTTTCCCTCTCCTGTACCTGGGAGGGTAATTTGCATACTCTTCCCTTCTATTAGATTCTTAACTTATAGGTGAATAATCAGTTTTGTAATTCAGTATTTACTTCCTATTCCCCTTTTCGGTCATCTCTTGGTAAACAGCAATCTTCCTTTGTTTTAATGAATTTACTTGTTCTAGGAGCTCTGGTAACATAGTGAATTATGAGTCACGCTGCTAACCTCAAGGTCAGCAGTTCAAAACTACCAGCTGTTACGTGGGAGAACAATAAGGCTTTCTGCTTCTGTAAAGATTTATAGCCTTGGCAACCCAATGCAGGGTCGCCATGAATCGGAACCAACTCCACAACATACCACCACCACCAGATATTTATGGGCTCCTAGTATAGTGCTGTAGGATCAACACTGGACTGCTAACCATGAGACTGGCAGTACAAACCCACCAGTTGCTCCTCGGAAACCCTATACAGGGTCGCTATGAGTCAGAACCTACTTCAGGCATATCACTACCACCACCACCATGTGTGTGTTACCTTGCATTGTATGCTGTTTTTGAAAAATCTGACCCTTATTATTTTGACTTTGTAACTTACTTGAACTTTGTACCTAAAGGATGTGAGAATTTTACCTTTTTCTTTAAAGCTTCCTTTATCTACACCTACTCAGAGTCCTGGATCTAAGTACTGACCTGCTAACTGCAAGGTCAATGGCGCAAAGCCACTAGCCTCGCCTCAGAAACTCTATATAGGGTTGCTATGAGTTGGAACCGACCTGACAGCATTTAACAACAATTCAGCATCTTAGTATTATTTTCTTAGCTTTAAATGATATTTTTAAAAATTAGATTTTAGGTAGTAGTCTTTTACCTGAATGTTTCTTCTTGGAGCTGTTCTAATTGGGTTTGGAGCTGCAGATGCCTTCTTCCTGCTGGGCTGTTAGGATCTTCTATAGAATCAGACTGATTGAGCCTTTCCATTAATATCTGATTCTCTGCCAACAAACTACTTTTCTCCTCTTGTAATGCTGCAACCTATTAGAATGTAGGAAGACAGCAGTCACTTCCTCCAATTACAATGCCATCCGCATAATCATTTGTGAATTGCCACCATGAAGCAAAATCTGTTTTGAATTAAGTAAAATCAACCTTCATTTAAAACGGTTTACATTCCTTTGAAGTATTGCACAGGCAATGCAATATGTAAGAGTAAGCAAGATGTTAATTCTTCAGCACATTTTAAAAAGGAACTTCACAAAAGATGTATGGGTGATAGCCAAGCATGCAAAAAGATACTCATGATTACCAATTACGGAACTGCAAGTTAAAACAAATTATTTAAAACTACACTCATACTAGAATGGCTGAAGTTAAAAAGATCAATGCTACCAAGTGTTGGTGAAAATGTGGAACAATGGAAATCTCATACATTTCTGGTGATTCTGTAAAATGTTTACTCTACCACTTTGGAAAATAGTTTAAAGTTTTCTTAAAAAGCTAAATTTGCAACTACTGTGAAATAGCCAGTCTACACCTAGGTATTCATCCAAGAGAAATAAAAGCATATATTCACAAAAACTAATAAATGTTTATAGTAGTTTCATTTGTAATAGGAATAAAACTGGAAACAACTCAAAAGTTCATCAAATGGTGAATGAATGAACAGACTGCTGTATACTCATACGCTGGGCTACTGTACACAATAATAATAAAAAAAAAAAAATACAAGCAGTCCCCAGGTTAGGAATGTCTGACTTATGTAATACCTGTAGATACAAACCAACCCCCTGTATTGTCTATTATATTAAACTTTTGAGGTACATACAACGGTTTATAATAGCAAACAGGTGCTACGTTGGGATAGGCATCCTATCGTTGTTACTATTACTGCCTCACGCTAACAATGTTCTAGTGTGTCTGGAAGTGCTTCTGTAATGTTTTATGTATAGAAAGGTACACTATATACTATGGAAAACATTTGACTGACATTAGATATAAACCATACTTAACTGTTCCAATGTATGTGCAGTTTGGACTTAAAAGACAGACTTAGAAACAGAATTCATTTGCAATCCAGGAACTATCTGTACATGGATGCCAACAACATGGATGAATCTCAAAATTATCAAAGATACCAGACCGAGAAAAAAAAAAAGAAGAAATAGAAAATATACTGTATGATTCTTTTTACATACAATTCTAAAAAATACCAGCGAATCTGTAGTGACAAAAAGCAGAGTGTTGTTGCCTGGTGACTAGAGTAGGGGAGGACAAGGAACAGGATGAAACTTCTGGGCGTGATGAGTTCATTATTCTGATTGTGACAATGGCTTCATGTCAAAATGAATCAATATTGTATAATTAACATATGATGAGTTTTCTCTGTGTCAATTATATCTCAATAAAGCTGTAAGACCCCAAGAAGACGGACTGACACAGTGCCATGAACAATGGGCTCAAACATGACAACTGTGAGGATGGCACGGCGTTTCCATGTGTTGTACATGAGGTGGCTACAAGTGGGAACTGACTTGACGGCATCTGGCAACATCAACAAATCTGTAAAACAAAGCTGTCTGTGGTGTCTAATTGTATCCCTCCCCCAAAGTCCGTTTTCCTGAACTTGTTCCAGTGAGGTGATTGCCCTAGTGTTTGACCTTGAACTGCTCATCAGGATCACTCATAACGCCCAGGTCACTGAGCTCTAGCAACAATGTGACACAATGGATGAGATCCTCCTTTCTGAAGTATTTTCATTAGTCTTATCTCTTTATTTACCTGGATGCTTAACACTGTAGCGCCCCACAGATTTTCTTTTCTAAATACTATGATAGTTTGTAGCTTCATGGCAATGTGCATATCTGTATTTCTAGCCAAGAATCCTGGAATGATCATCACTTCCATTTAGATGTCTAATTATCCAATGCAAAACAGACATCTCAAATTAAGTTGTCCAAGAAACTTCTAATTACCCTCCACTCCTTTTTCACAGTCGTTCCCATTACAGTAAACAGTAACTCTATTCTTGCAGTTGCTCACCCACCGTCCTTGATATCTCTCCCTTACACCCACATTCATTCTGTCAGCAAACATCACTGGCTCTACCTTCAAATATATTTGGCCAGTTTTTGCTACCTCAACATCCTGATCTAAGTGAACATAATTTCTTGCCTGGATTAATTAATGCAACAGCGTCTTAATCAGTCTCCTTGGTTTAATCTGTGTCTCTAGTCTATTTGGCAGGCAGCAGACTAAATGATCTATTAAAACAAAAGTCAGGTCACACGGTCACTTGGTCAAACTCCTCCAAAGACTTCCCATATTACTCAAAGTAAAAGTCTTTAGAAAGGCTGATAAGACTTCTCCAGACTGATTTAATTTTCATATTCTATTAATTGTGTAAACTTGGAGCTCTACGTTTTATGAGCTATCTCAGAAGCAGGAATGACAAATCTCATTACTATCAAAGAAGAGACAGGAATGGAACATGTTTGGATCCAAGATCCCTGGACATTGAACCTCCGTGACACAGGGACAGAATGCTATGACACGGGAGGAGTGAGAGAGAAGCAGCAGCAGCAGAGCCAAGAGTCAGAGCATCAGACAGAGCAGTGGGCATCCCAAGCCATGGAGTAAATCAAGTTGAGTGCCTTTGACAGGAGGCTCACGTGTGGAATTGGGTGCCTCCTGACACTTAATTAGGGGAACTAGGTTTGGTGACCTAAGGAGCAAGAGCTGAACACCTTCAGACTGAGTGGAATGCAGTGCCCTTTGGGTAATAACATAAAATATTATGCCAGTGTTAATACGATTTCTGCAAAGCCAGGTATGTTTTAGGGCGACACATCTTAAAGCCTCTCTGCAATCTTGCTATCCACTTTGCAGTCTGTTTATAACAGGGGCTGGCAAACTTTTCTATAAAGCACCGTAATAAATATTTTAGGCTTTTGAGAGCCAGAGGTCTCTGTTCCAACTACTGAACTCTAAAGTTGAAGCATAAAAGCAACCAGAGATAATATGTAAATAAATGAGCACCGCTGTATTTCAATAAACTTTTATTTACAAATACAGACATCAAGGTGTAATACATAGCATATACACTTAATCTTATATTAAAAGTAATATTTATATCCTGCTTATCAAGATGCTCAAGCAGCTCCTAGTCACTATTATGACACTTATTATTTATCTATAGCTTGGCTATAAAATCTGAAAACAACAGTAATAACATTATGACTATGTAAGTATTTACTACATACCCAAAAAGTATGCTATGATTATACTTTCCTCTTTACACATCCACTGGAATGCCCAACTCCTATGCCTTTCAAAGTAGAATGTCTCTAGCATATTACTATACCCACCACCCAGCTTTAATGAGTATTAAAAGAGCCAATTACATCTCATTTATACCTCCACCTATTCCTCCTGCCCTTTATTTTCAGGTAAATCCCAGGCAAAATTCCTTGTAATTTTTAATCTGTGAGAGATTTCCTCAACTTTTATCTTTAATATTCTTAGTGAATTTTTTATTTGACTGTTCTATTTTTAATTTACTTAAAAGTGTTTCTTGATGTGATTTTTACTTTTGCATACTGTTCTTATTTTACAGATGTAGCATCTCTACTAATTTCACTGAGGGTATTAAATTGTTGTTGGTGTCAAGTGCCATCGAGTCGATTCCGACCCATAGCGACCCTGTATAGGGTTTCCAAGGAGCAGCTGGTGAGCTTGAACCACTGATCTTGCAGTTCAAACAACTTTGCAGTCTGACACATTAGCCCATAGCACCACACCCAGATCTATAAAAAATCTCTTTTACTTTCCCAAATTACTTCTTCGAGGGCTAGTTTCCTGTTTCCCTCAGTCCTTTTATCTTTTGAATTATTTTTATTTTCTCTTTCCTTACAATTAAGAACTAGTGAGCAGTGGCACAATAATTAAGCACTCAACTGCTAACCAGAAAGATTGGTGGTTCAAACTCACCCAGTGGTTCTGTGGGAGAAAGACCTGGCAGGCAGTTCCCATGAAGATTAGAGCTGAGAAAACTCTAGGGAGCAGTTCTACTTGGTGACATGGGGTTGCTAAGAGTTGAAAGTTGACTTAACAGTACCCAACAGGGGTAACTGGAAGTTCTGCATTTATAGACTTCACTTAAGGGCTTATTCACAAGAATTCACCTTTAGTTAAATGAGGGAACCCAGAAATACAGAATGAAAAGGACCTTACCCTGCAATATTAATACCCACTCTAACCTCCCTAGCACTTCTATTTGTTCACTCTCTTTAGAAAACACCCTCCAATTCTATGCCTGGCTACAGTTGCTCCTTTGAGCCCTTAAGCACTTTTCCAACTGCCTTTTGGCCTTCAGAGGTATGCTGGAGCTGGCTAATACCAGGGTGACTGTTGAATATTCAGGAGTCTTAAGAGCTGGCGGTTAAACTATTAACTTGAAATGGTTTAGTAACATGAAAATGGACACTGTGAGAGTACTTATACCATGGAAATTGACAAACAGTATAAATTAGGACTCAGTCATCTTTAACCACAAATTTTTCTTTAAAATTTTCTTCTTTAGTTAGGGTTTTCTCATAGTCAAACTGTACTGTAAAGCAGTGCATAGTATATTTGGTGATACTTATGGTGGTGCATTTCAAATGGATGGTACAAGGAATATCCAATTCATATACCTGCATATCCAATTCATGGCATCTTTGAGCAATTTCTTCCTTTGCTGACAAAGCCTCGGTTAGTTCCTCTGTTGTTTTCTTCAACTGGTTAGAAACAATGACACCCATTAAATGCCTCAATATGAAGTGCCAACAATTAATAAAGTATGTGTACAATTGACAATTAAGACTTTTTAAAAAATCAAAACACACATTTCCCCCCTATTCTTTCTAAGGGTGGTTGGGGTGAGGAGAGACCAAGAACCCTTCTGCAAGAGTCAAAAGAGGGTACTTAGTTTGATTTTCTTTTAGGCTTAAAGTCTTGTCATTTCTGCCCTTTGGATTTTATTCATTTCCATAAATAACGTTTTCTTACATATCTTTTTTTATTTAGGCTATTTGATTTAGGTTCTTGGTAACACTGTTCTATAGTGACTGGGAAATTTTACTTTGGTAAAGTATATGTGTGCTAAACAAACGGGAGTACAGTGGCTCCTTAGGATAAATTCTGGACTGCATAGCAAAAGGTCAGCGGTTTGAGCCTACCAGCTGATCCTCATGACAAAGAGGAGGCTTTCTACAGCTGAAAAGATTTTTAGCTTGTAAACCCTATACTAGGCGGCTATAAGTTAGAAACGACTCAACAGCACTTAACAGCAATTCTTAATATATTTTTATCCTGATTTTCAATATGAACCAAGCATCCCTGTGTTGTCTACCACTGTTATATAAATGCCCAGAGAATGAAAATAAAAATAAAAATTTATTGTCTCTTCATTTCATGTGACTAAACATGTATGCAATACAGATGTTAAAATACATTTTTTACTTTAAACAGCTACAAAACCAAATGCCATAATATAACAAAAAGACAAATTACAACTTGGGGTAAAATTATAGCATGTCCAAAGATATTCCTGGAAAGCATTTCGAAACCATGGGGAAGAAATGAGAGAAGACAAAGGTTTCTGTTCATGCCTTAGAACAGATGTCTCAGAATGGCTTGAATATAGAAACTGATGATGTAACCTATATAGTCTTACTGAGAAGCAACAACATCACATTTCTGTTAAATCCATAAGAATACACTGCAGAATTTTCCTTAGTATATCTAAATAGCTACTTACAGATTATTCACTACTTCATAAAGGTTAAGCGTAGGGTAGAAGTGACTTTTTAAATTGAAGAATAAAGAGGGGTGGGGAGAGAGATGAAATATCTTTTGCTTTGAAAAAATATTTTAAGATTAAATATATGCTATTTTCCAGGAATACATCTATTATGCCAAGTGTAATACACAGATATCATTAATTGGGGGGAGGGGAGAAGACAAACACAACTAGAAGTTAATTTATTTCAAATTGGGTTATATGATAAATTAATAAATGGTAGCATTTAATTACAAACATAATATCCATTAGAAAATGACATAATTATTAAATTTTATATAACATATATTATTTTATAGATTCACACCAAATACAGTTTAAAAGAAATTTCACCTGAAACATTCTTTGCATCAATATATACAATCTATTCTTTCCAACCTTGACATGAACAAAAGCAATGCAAAATTAGATACCTGGCGGTCAAGGTCCACATAGGCATCATTTCCAACAGAGACAGGGGATTCTTTACTCATCAACTGAAATTAAGATTTAAACGATTATAACTACGTGGAAAAACAAGTCATTCTACACAGCATACTTACACAGCAAACATGAGTACCCAGCCAAGACACAGTTATAAAAACTGAAATGAAAACACTAATGTAAAAGAACATTTTCCTGTTTTAAACAATAATTTTTTATGTATATCACCACTTAAAAAATAAAATACTATTATTATTTGGATTCTCAACAGACAATTCAGTATCTCTGAATTGTCTCCCATTATTATATAAACTCTGAGTTACCACAGTATGAAACAATTTGATTAAAATAAAATTTTACTGTCTCTTCATTTCATTTCAGTCTTGAACTTTTTCCCACTAACATAATGCCTTCATTTAAAATGAGAGATCTGAAGTCTCAGGTGCTCAAAGTCATAAGAACCCAAGTTCATTTATTTTTGCCCCTTTAAAGTCTTTAAGAAATTAAAGTTATAAATATGATTAGATATTTGAAACTAGTGATATTTTCAGTAAAAGTATCAATACTAAGTACCTATTTATTTCTAAAAAAAATGTGGGCAACATCGGTATCAGCCAAAGTTAAGTGACTCATGTTTAATGATGGCATGTTGTTGTTAAGTGCCGTCGAGTCGGTTCCGACCCATAGCGACCCTGTACAGGGTTTCCGAGGCTGTAAATCTTTACGGGAGCAGAAAGCCCCATCTTTCTCCCACGGAGAAGCTGGTAGGTTCGAACTGTTGGCCATAAGGTTCGCAGCCCGATTCGTAACCACTACGCTACCAGAGCTCCTTAATTATGGCATACGCGTACACACATCTATGTCTCTGCCTCTCTCGCCCTTGTTTTGCAAAGAGAGAAAAAGATACATAAGTATGTGTAGGGGTGGGGAGAGAAAAGGACAGCATTCTGGTTGTGATAAATGTCAGGGGCAGACATAATGGTTCCCAATCTTCTATCTAAAGGACAAAAGGGAAGGGGGCCAGTTAGAAAGCTAGGAATGCATTGCTGAGAGGCCTTGTGATTTCAGTCTTTATTCCATTCCTCTTAATAACTGAAATGCTATGGCTCCTTGTATCTTTTTCTTTTTATCAGTTTGTCTCAAAGTAAGGTCCCCACACCAATACTATCAGCACTGCCTGGAAACTTATCAGAAATGCAAATCTTGGGCCTTAGTCCAGAATTACTGAATCAGAAACTAAGGGGTTAGGGCCCAGCAATGTGTTTACTCAGTCCTCCAAGTGATTCTGATGCATGATGATGTTAGAGAACCACTGCTGAATATTAAAACAAGAAGATTGGAAAGTCTCTTAGCACAACTATGAAAGAAAGAAAATCTGAGGCAAGTGAAAAATGTTGGCTTCAGTTTTCATGCTTTTATTGTGAGAATATTAACAAAAAGATTTAAAAACAAACAAAAACACAATCTTTCTTCCATCTGAAAAAACAGTATTCATAGTAGAGAAGATATACTTTAGAGGAAAAAAAAAAAAATTCAGTATCTAGGGGGAGAGTCATTGCTTGACAGGCACTGAGCTTTTGGTCATGTTGTTGTTAAGTGCCATCCAGTCGATTCCGACTCCTAGTGACCCTGTACAGGGTTTCTGAGGAATGACTGGTGAGCTTGAACCACTGACCTTGCAGTCCAGTGCATTAACCTGCAGCACCACACCAGGAGTGATGGAATAATTTAGAAAAGGATTATGGTGATGATGAACATAATCAATGTCAATAAGTGACATGTAAAAATAGTTGTACTTGCAAAGCTTTTGCTATATATTTTGAAAA